ATAATAGTAATAATACTAAATTTAATATTATAACTATATTATTATTATATTATAATAACATTATCATTATACAACATTAATAACATGATTAATGAGGATAATAATAATAATAATAATAATAATTAATAATAATAATAATTACAATTATTATTATTATTAATATTATTATTATTATAAATAATAATATAACTTTAATATCAATATTAACAATAATACTATTATTATTAATAATAATATATATAAATAAAGGGAGAGAGGGGTTACCCTCTCTAGCTATGTAGGTCGGCGGCAGTGTAGGCTCGGGCTACAGACGGGCAAGGGGAGATCGGATGAGAGGGAAGGAGGTCGGAGGATGGAGAGAGCTCGGCTTGGGGAGGATGAGGTAGGCAAAGCTCTTTCTTTCTCTCTCTCTCTCTCTCTCTCTCTCTCTCTATCTCTCTCGGCTTGACAACTTCACGGGATTCGGCCGAAGAAGCACGTGGACGGGAGATGGAGGGGGATCGATCGGGATCTGGTCGAAGATCGGTCGTGGAGGTGATGGGTAAGAAAGTCGTCGAAGGGGCGAACTCGAACAGCATCGGAGGAGCTGGGGAGGTTCGGTCGTGGCTCTAGAGGCTGGAGCTCGACGGGCTCCAATCGTTTCTTCCGATCCAAATGTTGCAGCTTCCGATCGTGGGAAGGAGAGAGAAGAAGGGCTCGTGGAAGAAGAGCGAGAGAGATCGGGATCGTGAGAGAGCAGAGTGCCGTGAACTTGCGCGGGAGAAAGAGGTCGAAGGCCTTCATTGCTTCGAGCTTTTAACTACTCGAATGAGTCGTGCGAGCGACGTGCGAGACGCGACGCTCGGTATGGCCTCGACGTGCGACGAGCGGCGCTGGATCGTGCGACGTGGGGAGGCAGGTAAGGGATTTGATTTTTTTTTTTTAACTTTACAGGTCAATAACAGCATCATCAAATTGCACAAGGGAGTGCCGCATCACGCTATGCATCATACTGCGCATGTTATTTTATGCTCTTGATATGCATATGTGATATACATGCTGAATTTGAAGTGTATTTTCACTCCAAAATAATTGAATTTAGGGAAATGAAGATATTTAGAGTTGATAAAGAATTATTTTTTTTTTTTTAACTTTACAGGTCAATAACAGCATCATCAAATTGCACAAGGGAGTGCCGCATCACGCTATGCATCATACTGCGCATGTTATTTTATGCTCTTGATATGCATATGTGATATACATGCTGAATTTGAAGTGTATTTTCACTCCAAAATAATTGAATTTAGGGAAATGAAGATATTTAGAGTTGATAAAGAATTATAATCTTAATATACAATATTGTTTAAATAAGGCTAATATAGTAGCAAAGAAATTAAGTTAAAAAGTCACTACAGGAAAACATGCTAATTTCGGCGAATTAGATCTGTCGGTAACAACAAAAATGCACTGGAAATTGTTGATTTCCGGCGGATCACCGTCGAAAAACCCTCCGCCGGAATATCGTGTCGGAAATTTTTTCCGACGCAATTTCCGGCGGAAAAACAGTGAAATCTTGCCGGCGAACATTTTCGTTTACCGTCGTTTTTGCCCCGTCGTTAAAAAGACGATGCATAACCGTTGGATACGATCCACCGGAAATGTTATATCGTCGTACCGGCAGACCGACCGGCGGAAGTTCCGCCGAAAACCTGGAGCACATAATAAAAAAAACCTTCGTTCCTTCCTTTAAAAATTGATTTCCACAAAAAAAAATACCTGAATAAAAAACACATATAAACAACACAATTTACATCAACACAATTTGCATGTATACATCAAATCCATATAAGAAACATCACCAATTACATAATCAAACATGTCCAAACAACAATTAATTAAACATGTAGACAATAAACAGAAACAAAGATGTTCAAACAACACATATATTAAACTTGACATAAAACATGTAGAAACAGATGTCCACATTAGTAAAATAGATAAATAACATCTACTCTGATTCAGTTTCTTCCTCAACTGATGTTGTACTCCGCCCACTACTCAGTTGCTCCCACATCTTTTATAACAAATGCGCAAGAAAGAAAGTTACCTGCACAGCAAGTGAGCTCCCTTTAAAATGTCGTAACAACCGTTCCAACAAGCGAAGTCGAAGAAGTTACTTGCACATAGCAAACGAGCGATAATATTAAAGTTAGGTCGTCGAAGTAGCGAACTCAAATAGCGCGAAAGAGAGAAAGTAACCTGAACACGGTCGAAGGAGCGAGGATCGGAGCTTTCGGTCGAAGGAGCGAGGTTCGGTGGAAAGAGCGAAGGATCGAAGCGAAGGAGCGAAGTCAAACAGCGAATTGAAGGCACTAAGGAGCGAAGTTGAACACCGTCGGAGGTGTCGAACAAGGAGCAAAGTTGAACGCCGACTAAGGACCGAAGTCAAACAGCTACAGTAGTTGAAAGCAAGGAGCGAAGTCGAATGTCGACCAAGGAGCAATGTCGAACACCGTCGGAGGAGTCAAACCGCGACGAAGAAGCGAAGGCGTCGGATCGATCGGAGCGAAGTCGAATAGCTAGCGAACAGTGGCCAAGGGGTCAGAGCGAAGTCGAACACCTGCCGTCGTCGGGAACAGCGGCGAAGGGACTGGAGCGAAAACACATAATGAGAAATGAGAAGGCAGCACTAGGGATCGCCCTATATATGATATTTACCGGCGTTTAATCCGTCGGTTGTATTTCGTTGTGTTTAAGTTGCGCCGATGCAATAACCGTCGATCCGCCCGCCGGTACTTACCGGCAGATCCTGCGCCGGTTAATTTATAAAACAGGCACATGACCCGTCAATTATCCGCCAGTAACTTTGCGGCGGTTAGGCCACCGTAAAACTTCCGTCGCACAAGTTCCGCCAGTAACATCGTCACCGTTTCCGTTGATCAAAATTCCGCCGGAAAAATCCAACGGTAATCAAACATTTTCTTGTAGTGAGTACAGTAGAATGCAAGCTAGATGTAACTCGGGAAGCATATTGATTAGAGATATAGTGGCATTATCGTTCGATCTCAATAGGGTCGAATTGAGGGGCTCATCCCCCTAGGAAAAATTGTAATTTTTCATTGTAGTCTCCTGCATTGTTCTTTTATTGAATAGATGAAAAGAGGCGTGCCCTAATTGCTCTATTTCATCTTCCTTCCCTCGTACTATAAAAGCTACAAACCAAAATAGTGAACTTGAGTTTAAAGGACTAAACTGACAAAAGCCATAAAAATGGACTAAATTTATTTTAACTCGTAATATAATGAATGCATGTGAATATGTTTGTTTCAATGGAAAATACTTAGAAACAGAATATTGTCTAATAAGATACATGGAGTACCAAGAAGAAGGTTAAACAAAAGCATCCTCATCCAATGCAAAGTTTGTGAGAACAGAAAATTATCATAATGAAATGGTAATGGAATTGAAAATTAGATTATTTTAAATTCAACAAGATAAGATTTCAACCATGTATGGTCAATGCATCCAACTCTACAGTTTATCAAACTGCAATAAAGATTGGATAATGGAGCTGCATATCTAATAAATTGCATCATTTAATAAATAACTAACGAAATTTCGGCCGACGAATAAATCTCTGAAAATCTGTTTGAGGATCCTTCATATAGGGCATTTCCTCACGTTCTTCAGTGTTTGTGATCTGCAAACCAGCAGATATTGATTGTCAAACTGCATATAATATTATAAAAGAAGTGCAATTTCAGAGTGATTCAAAAGATAATTCAAATAAAAAGTACATCTTTAGGAGGGAAATCCTGTTATCACACGTTCTACCCATATTCCATGCATAAAGATATATCAAGTTAAAATCATAAATGCTTACTGGTGGAAGATCGGACAGAATATCCTCAAGAACAAGTGCTTTTTCTAACATCCGTGGTTTGCCTTCATCATATCCAACAAGGTTACGCTGCAAAATAAGATTTAAATAAGCATGCAACCGTATATATTGTAGAAATAATTAAAAATCCAAAAATGGATTATATGCAAAAGCTGCAACATTAAAAATAATGATACAATAGTTTTTCAAGAAATAATCAGAATTATTCTTTCAACCACTGGATAGCGAGGGGTTGAGATTTCAAATTACTTTGTAATCGAAGCAAGCAAATATTTCATCAAATTAATCATGGAAACTTGAGCGAATAAAAAACTACTTTACTTTCAGTTTAAGCAATATGGAAATACATACCACAGTGTTAACTTAAACTACAAGAATAGATAAAACTCATAGATATACCTCAAATTCAACAGGGGCACCACCCTTTGTAATAGCTTCATGACTAGGAAGTGGGAACTGGGGTAATTTCTGCACAGAGAATTAGACTATGGAACGTGCACATTTTAATGATAATAAAAAAAAATTACCTCATTAGGATGACACCCCCATAAAAAGACACGCAAGCGAAATTGGGGAAGACCGTAGCAACTTGCAGCCATGATGCCTAATCTTGCTTGATAATTCATCTCAATCAAACGACTCAAGGCATACCTACCAAGTGTAGCCTTGGCAAACTTCAGTATATCAACGACATTTTCCATCAAAACATATTTAGGCTTCAAAAATTGCACGGTATCCATGAAGACAGCAATTTGGTGGTTTCGTTCATCATCTAATGGTGCATCAAAATTTCTAAACCGATTGAAGCCGCTAATACCTTGACAAGGTGGACCTCCACATATAACATCTACATCACCCTGAAGAGAAATATTTAGAAAATTAAAGAAAATTTATATTAAACAGCAAGTCATGCAAGTATTGAAATTGTGATTCAATTTTCTGCAAAGAAACTGACATTTAAACATTAAAAACACTTACAGGGAGTGGTAGCAACTTTGACGAGTAACCTTCTCTAATAAAATCTTTAACTCGGTCTTTGCAGTTGCTGATAAAATGTAAATATTGGCATAAAAGTTTTATAATTAAATAAGATTCTTAGTTGTATATTAATCTACCTCAAATTTTCGAGTGGTTCCCACGTGTCGTCACTAGAATCATAACCCTTCCAGCGAACCTGGACACAACATTAATGTTGAAAATTTTTATGCATCTCCCTTCCTAAATTTTAGAATTCTGTGTTTGTTTTTTGGAACTTCAACAGGATTGAAACCAAAGAAATCAAGGATTTTGCAGTAGTATGATTTCCGAACACAATTAGGTCAGAGAAATTTTTTGTGATTAAGATTTGATACATTACACTCAAGAGAAATAGTATAAAAGGTTAGCTACCTCCTAGCTGATCATTTCATCTTCCTGAATTCTTAGGGCTGTGCATTTGTGAAGGAAGCTGGTGGAATAAATAAAAAAATGTTTATCCATGTACAAACTCACCATTAAACCATTTATCCACTTTCCAACAACCAAAAAATTGAGTATTGCGCCAATAATCCTAATAGGTAATGAGAAAATAACCAGCTTCCAAAAGCTCTGCCTAACCAGGAGACATTTTAAAAATAGAAATACATCATGTCCTTTCACACTAACCAAAACAATATACAGCTGAATGTATTATTTTTATCTGTTATATCCCTAGTTAAATTATCTTGACATTTTTCCCTCTGGAACCAACAAGCCTGTGCAAACTACAAAATGAAAGGAATTCTCAAAAAAGCATCCAATGCCTGACAAGAGCATCCTACTTACCAATTATACCTAAGACAAACCATATAACTTTTCTTCACCTACCTGGTGGGTGGGCATTCATTCCACCCACTTTACATATACTGTCATATCTTTTCCAAAGCCATTCAGTTTTCGTGCTCTTCATTTTAGTTCAGCTGCAAAGAGTACGTGGCTCAGCAGGCTTGGATACAGAGAACATAGCATGAATATGAGGGATGGTGATATATAGGATGGAAGTGCAGGCAGTGCTGGTGTGATCGGGTATCTTCAGTAGTTATGGAATGAGTGGGAAAAGAACTCAAAGTGAATAATTTCGCTTAATAGCTTCCACTTTGTGGAAAAAAATAAGAAAAGAGACTATTGAAATATTAATAAAAAAAGCAACATAACATAAGAATAAAAAGTGGAAACAACACCAAACCTTAAATTTCAATCCATGCTTTCCTGATTTGTGAGGGTCACCATAACAGATATCCACAATTTTTAACACTTCATATTCTTTGGTGGATGTTGCATTGCAGGTTTTGAGAGTGGGTTCATTCAATTTTAGATTCGTTGAATTCACCTTGCAACTTTTACTGGTACAGCTAGCATATTGTTCGCAAAGGTTACTCCACTCCTTCAATAGGGCTAAAAAATCATCAACCTTCTCATTCCTAACCTATTCAAGCAAGCATATTTCTTAAATCCTTATCTGATTATCGTATGAAAGCATAACTTCTTTAGTAGTACATGGAAATAGCTTACCTGAACTTCTGGATGATTTAACTTTAGACTTTGGCATGCAGCTTCATTAAAATCAACCGCCCATTTCTAATTAGAAAGCAATGGAAAGTTAGCAAAAGGAAGCACAAACACCAAAAACAAAAACAAAAAATGCATTGCAGAAAAGGTTCACTGAAATCAATAAAGTAGATTGATGCAGGATACTTGCCGTCACAAGCATTACACCAGCAACCTTTGCTCCAAGACAAAGACCAGTTGACATTCCCCCACAACCCGAATATAGATCTAATAGAGATAGCTCTGCTTTTCTGGACTTAAAATTACTAAAAGTTGGTTTCTTCGAACGATTCATCTGAATACCACCGAAAGGATCGGCTCCTAAGCAGTTTGAGGAAAAATCACTCATTTCCCCTGACTCACCTGAATTTGATAAGGTAAATATCCAAAATAAATATAACAGGTGCAGAATCCAATCACAGATCATCTGGAAGCTGAAAGAGAAAACATGAAGGGCAGAGAAAGATTAAATAAGACCACAGCTCATCTGCAGCACTCTGTTTCAAAGTTTACATATTATTTGTCTCTCACAGCATCAATTCAGGTTATTTAGCTTGTCCAACCTATATGTCAGTTCTGTAAAAGATCCTGACAAATTGACAATATTCACTCGATTTCATGGCTGGATGATAATTGACACATTCATTCAAATCAGTATGGTGCAGCATGAGAAGCATAGGAGGACAACATGCAGTTCTTACAGATATCAGAATTCTAGGAGTATGTAGTAGGCTTTCCGAGAGATAGGCCGAGGTAAGAAGGAAATTATTTAAGTAATGTGGCCTAGAGAAGATGGGGGATATCTGTAATACTAAGTTTCAAGGTTTACATATTGTTCATCTCTCACAGCTTCAATTCAGGGTCAGGTTATTTACTGTGTCGAACCTAGACCTCACATTTCTACAAAAGCTTCAAACAAATTGGCAACATCCTTACATGATTTTTTAGGCCATGCACACCCTTTTGTGGCATGGTGGAAGACCTATAAGTTCATCCTTGTGAGTCTTAGCTTTATGAAAAACCATACATGCCTTTCTTGATGAAGTGGAGGTGTTACCAATTAAAAAATCTTTTTATATAAGTTGTATAATTCTACAAGAATTTGAAGGCACATTTGGTATAATGGGGAATCTAGATATAGAATCTATTTAGGGTAGCTTTCTATCTTCGTTATTGTTCAAAATGCAACCTCATTATCATTTAGCTTACAAATTATTTATTGTATTTCAAAAAGTTTTATTTTAGAATAGTTTTTCATGGTTGAGCTTATCACCATGTGTTTTAATGGTGTAACTACGTCTTGTGATTTCACAATTATCTTGTCCATATTTTAAAAAAATGCATAATTACATAAACAACAATTTTTGCGCCAACAATTTCATAATCAAGTTTACAGACTAAGGCTATCCGCTGCCCTGAAAAGATCCACCTTGGTGCTATCCACCACAAATACACAGTTTTTGGCATTGTAAGATAGGTATTGAAATCTCTTTTAGACCAGCTTCGAGATAGCTCGCATCATGTCAAGTTGTTATGATGATCGAGATTATGAAGTTCCATTTTCCAACAGCTCTTTGAGCTATATTTTCAAGCCATCCTGATGAACAATGTTCGTTCTAATATTCCTTATAATAAATCAATCCCCCCCCCCTCTAATTGTTTATCCCGGTGATCTTGCATGAATATTTATGTGCTTATATATAATATAATATTAAAAATAAAACCAAAAAAAATAAAAACTAAAACAAAAAAACCTAAAAATAAATTTCTCAGATCCCTTAATGGTCACGCCATCTCCTCTTGACCAAAACTTTCAAAAAACACACTTCACATTGCATTTATTCCCATGCAAAAAAAAACAAAAAAAAAAAAATGTTTTCCTCCTGCAAGTACTCTCACGCCGTGTCGCCATATCTCTCTCTCCCAATTCTGTTGCATGGGGATCTCTTTCTCTCTCATTTCCCCCCCCCCTCCAAAAAAAAAAGACTAACGCACAAGAACACAACCCATCACCTTAACCCAATTTCTCTCTCTCTCACATCATGCACCCAAACATAAGTCAGCAACCATCAATTGAATGTTATAGCCAGCACTCACATGCCTACGCATGTGGCCAGCACACCAACGCACGAACTGTTTGTGGACTCGTCGACTTTGTATACATTTCCTCCAACCTCCCTCTCAAGCGAGAACCACTAACATTTCAGACACTATGTTCACAACCCTTAAGGAGATAATTTTCATTTCCTTTCCCACTCTCCTCTTAGTTGTGTTCTTTCCGAGTCATCGTCTGCTCCTCAGCCAGCAACCCTTCCATATCAACTATCGACCCGATGATAACTGCACACTCGTCGTTCAAATCCATATGCTCACACTCCTGCATGAGTTACCAACAAACACACACAGCGGCTCCGGACTCGTCACTTGTGGACCACACAATCGTGATTCAAATAGTCAATTCAAGTTCCCATTAGCTCCCTACCAACAACCCAGAGTTTTTTGAGGGTAGACCTTATCGTGCTTATTTATAGGGGGCGAAGCCACCATTTGACATGAAGTTCTACCCCTGGAGGACTAATTTTCATCAATCCTTTTCATATATTAATAAAGAGATAAAAATCAAATATATTTAGGTTCTTTAAATTTCTCCAAGATCACAAAGGCTCGTTACATTTTAAAGAATTATGTTAGATTAAATTTATTACTCACACCCAAACTCAATCTAACATAATTTTCCCAAATATTAAAAGTCGGACAACACAAGATTTTCACTTTCTTATCCCACCAATATCATGTTTAGCTTCTAATATTATGAAAGGATGCTTAGAAATGGAGGAAGATCCAAGGGCATTCATCCTTAGAATCTCCTCATATTTCCTTCGCGATCACCCCAATGCAGGTTTCCTGAATCCCACAAATTCATATTAATTGGTCTTCCTAATTACATAAAGTTATATCAATTATGGTGGATTAGAAAATTTGTGTAATTTACAAATTTGTAATATGCATAATATGCACAGATTGTGAAATTTACACTATTGCAATATGAATATTAAGCACGCACGCACCCTCATATTTTGCTTGTAGATTTTATCCTAAGAATCTACAATGTATTGTTGTTAATGATGTAATAAGCAATTAGGGATTAAGGGTTAGTTTGAAGCAGCTTTTCATTGTTTTAGGGATTAAGGCTTCTTTCTCGCAGCTTTTCAAAAATTGATGTGGTGGAAGAAGTTTTTAAAACCAGATCCATTAAAGTGTGGCAACGATAAATATACATATAATATCCACTATAGCTTTCCACAAAATTACTTTATCATCAATAGTTTCAACCATTATTAAAAAAATTGTAGCCGCCCCAATAAACCCTTCTTCATTTGGAAAGCCTTTTTATTTCATTGATTGTTGTGATAAATATTTTCCAAACCATAAGAATATTGCAATGCATGAAGGTTCCTTTTTTGCTTCAATGTGCAATAGATAAAGCAAAACCATGCTTTTACTCAAAATTGCACAATTAGGTATTGAGGCGTTTTCCGTCAATGAAGCAAGGCGTAAATCTCAAAATTCAAAAATCGTGCAAAGTGAAAATGAAGGGCATAAGTGATTATTGTATATAATAACTGAAAACTATGAAGCAAAAAACTGTCAGGTCAGGATATTCTTATTTAAATCTGAGTTTTAAAATTTTTGAGATTACTGTCACATATATATATATATATATATATATAATCAAAAATTACAAAAGATATATAATGACAAGTGATAAATTGCATGAAATATAATTAAATGGAAACATCACAATAGCAAAAAAAATAAATATATTAAATATAAGAATTACATAAAAGTGTCATATATCATCAAGTTCAACTCCAAATCCCTTATTTTCTAATTCCCTACTCATCCATATTTAATTCTAAATAAAGTAGTAATAGTACAACAACTCAAAATTCATCTGTGTTTTCATCACTAAAGAGGTTTTTATTTGATCTGTCATCATAATGAATTGATTTCTCCCTTGCCTCAACACATATGGGTTCCAATGTCTCACAATCTACTTCTTCATTAATTTCAATCATCTTCTTCTTCTTTAAATATTTATCATCAACATAAAAATGAGAGTAATACTCCAAATTAAAGAAACTTAATAAGTTAAATTCTTTTTATATGTCTTTTTCTTTTTAATTCATTATGTCAATGGCTTGTGGTCTTGTTGTTTTTTCTTCTTTTGGGGCTTATATATAGGAGCCCTCATCCTTTGTAATTTGGTTAATGAATGAATGCTAAAAACGTTTTTACCTTTGGAGCTTAGTTTTCTTCTTTCTATGTAGCTTGGTAAAGATTAGTTTAGTGGTGTGAGTGTGAAATACCCGACATCCATTGGCTCTTGGTTTTATCCTTGTTCTCAAATCTCTCCATCTCCTTCCCAACTCCCAACCGAACCCTTCCTCTACTCCCAACTGGCGTTCCCAAACTCCCACAACAAATTTCTGCTTGGTAACCTACTATCCAAAGCCTTCTAACCCCACCAACAGCCCTCCGTTTACCCTCCCTCCTAGTGCTAGTAACCAACCACCCAACATCCACTATGATGACCCTTCCTCTTCCAAAAAAAAACACTGAAATTTCCCCTCCCAACAGCCAACAAAATTCTGTTTTTACAACTTCCTCATTAGAAGTTGGAAAGTCACCTTGTGCCTCTTCGTATTCTCCAAAACATTTTCCCAAAAGTTAAAGTATTGTCTTTTAACTTTCCCAAAGCCCCTCTTCATTTCACTATTAAATACAAGCCTCTTCGTTTTTTTTTAAACCTTTTCTCAAAAGTTAAAGTGTTGTCTTTTAACTTTCCCAAAGCTCCTCTTCATTTCCCTATTAAATACAAGCCTCTTCGTACTCTCCAATACCTTTTCCCAAAAGTTAAAGTGTTGCCTTTTAACTTTCCCAAAACCCCTCTTCATTTCCCTATTAAATACAAGCCTCTTCGTATTCTCCAAAACATTTTTCCAAAAGTTAAAGTGTTCTCTTTTAACTTTTCCAAAGCCCCTCTTCATTTCCCTATTAAATAAAATCCACATAACCTTCCAACTCCCCATAACCAGTTGCCTACTTTTCCCAACAGTCACTAAACCACGTTTTTCCACTATATCCCCTTCCCAAAACAACCAAAACAAATCCTCACTCATTTTCCAGTCATTAGAACACTCCACACTCCTCCATTAGACCCTCCACCATCTCTTTAGCCTCCTCTAACACTCCAAACAGCATTCTCCCTTCCTAAAACAATTAAATCAATAAATGTTGTCCTCCAAAGTCACCATAGAGGATTCCTTTCAGAGATTCAGCAAAAGTCATTGTCTACCAAG